GATTTTAAATGGAATATGTTTTAGTTTATAAACCAGTTAGCTTTAGCGTCCCCATATAAATAAAAATTTATTAACACTATTTTTCAGATCTAAAGCCTTTATTTTTCTAAGTAAAGCAAATCTGATCTATAGAATTTTATTTACAGTGATATAAATTTTTATATCAATTAATTAGTGCATTATTTAGTAAAAAATAGTAGATAATATATAGTATCTAGATCTAGTTTGTTTATACGCGCTGAGACTGGATTAATATACTCAGGCGTATATGGTTGTGCATTTCACAGAAATTGAACAATTAAATATTAATTGTTTAAAAAATAAAATGAAAAATTTCATGGGAGGATTGTCTCCAATAAATTCATTGCATTTACTGTGGTATTATAGCACTTTTACAATGCTTCATTTAGGCAGTTTTGTTTATTAACGTCGCTTATGAGGTTAATTGCCATACGAAGATCTTTAATCTAAATAAACTAATTATGAATAAACGCTAGGAGATATATGTATTATACACTGTGCAATCTGGATTCAGTTACTGTTCAATCCCTGAATTTTGATAGAAGTTAATCGAAAAACTCCAAGGATGAAGTAGTTGTTGCCAAAGGATACTGGAGCCAATGAAAGCGACAGCATCCTGGGAGGAAGATAGATGATTTGGCCTTACCCACGTGGAGGCGATCTAAGCTACACCCCAGCGAAAGTCTAGTTTTATGGCGAATTTTCATCTCTGAATAATGTGGAGCCTGGAAGTTGGGCCTTCTTAAGCTTTGATGCAGTACCACACCTTCGCACGAAAGCTTTCTTGTTTTGACATTTTTTCTATTGTTATTTTATTTTTGTTAAATAAATTTTAATTCGAAATAAATTTCATGGTGACAAATAATTTTTAATCTTTTTTAAATTTAAACGTCTTCACTCATAATTTAGATGGATTTAAGTGTACCAACTGCGTGCCTACGGGAGTGAATTTTGGTGAGTTGGTTTTTATACTGTATATAACTACCAACAACGTCTATCGAAATAAAGCATTAAAAACTTTCAGAAAGAAATTAACAATTTAAAATGCGAATTGAAATAATATAGAAAACTTCCAATAAAAATTGTTTAAAATTGAAAAATCAGTAATTCATGAATTATATCTTCCATATCAAAAAATAAATATTTACATTATATTATTAAAAAATAATTTTTCCTCCTTTCACCTGAAAAACGAATTATCCTTTCACATTAAAAGTAGCAACTGCAAGTAATTACATTTAATATTATGATTGCATATCTCGCACACGTTAACGTCTTTACAGTTGCTTCAGCTACTGCAGTTGACAGCAGCTCTGCTATATTTTGCTTTGTTTGTTTTTATTCGCACGATTTTGCTTACACTTGCTTTTGTGAGTTTATGTACAGCGCTGCTACTGCACAGCTAGATTTAATGTTTTTATTATATTTTGTTGTATTTTTTTTCTCTATTTTATGTAGAAATTATTGTTTTACATTTTCTCTCCATTTTAGCATAACTAAAGTTAAGAACACGCACAAGTATGTACCTTCAAGTTATGAAGCTAAAATTTATCTCCTCGCACTGCTAATATTAACATTTTTTTATCTTTACATTGTTTTTGTTCGTAAGTGACTGTAAGAGCAATGTTGCTATATGTTGGTCGCTGACAGCTTTAAGCATAACGCCTTCATTTAAGTGACGTCTGCATTTATGCTTAAACAACATCATTTTGCTTGATAACACTGTTAGCTGCTGCTCTCTTAAGCTCAGGCACTGCATGCTACATGTTGCTTACTTTCTTTGCATATTAAAACTCTACTTGCGCTTTTGACTTTGTTATTCTTGTTAACTTTTTGTTTATTGGTGTATGTAGTGCGTATGTTGTGTAAGTGTGTGCACAATTTGCATACATATATGCGATTTGATATCCTCCTTTAATGCATTCAATGTGTAACAGCTGCTGCTGTTGCTCTTATATCTGTTATTGCAATTCAGATTGCTTTTAATGTAATAGCAGCACAATTTTATGCGTGACGCATTTGCATTTTCTGCCGCTGTTAATGTTGTTATTGTTGCTCGTTGCTTGTTGCTCTTTAAATGTTGCTAATATTATGAAGCAACTTTTCTGACAGTTTTTCTTGTCACATTGCTGTAAACAAATATTTATGTTTACATATTAAATTATGTTAAATGAAACCATTAATCATAAAGGACATGTGTAATTTTAATATTAACGCTTTTACATTTTCGTAATATGATTATAATATTTTACCACTCTTATTAAATATAGTGTTGGATTATTTGAACTCAAATAATTAATATATTGTATGATTAATTTTTTCTAAATTTGATATATTATATATTGTAAGTTATATATTTAATATATTGTACAATTGATATATTATATAATTAATAGGTTAAGATATGTTTAATTAATTATTCTAACTAATCCCTGTATAATCTGTAATCAAACCAACGGTTCTAATTCTTGCCCTTTATTGGCTGTTGTTTTCGTGCTCAAGATGAGCAAATTTTACAGTTTTTTGTACCATTTTCTTAATAATTTTGTATTATTTAAATATATTAGATAGACGAATCTTTCACACTCTCTATCTTGATAAATATTGAAAACGGATTTCCTCTTTCATACTATTTTATTATGTTTTTTCGATCAAAGAAACAATTTTCGCTGCAAAAACACTTTTAACCGAAATACCCTATATATGTACATCTCCTTACTCTTAAATGTTACCCAAAGATTGTGAAGAAAATGACATAGTCAATGTATGGTATTAAAATTGAATGTGTTCCTCAAAAAACAATTACTATTAGGGCCAGCAATATATATCAAGACTATTTCCATTCTCTTAGATATTGTGACAAAAACCGATATATATAAATTTCAGTATAATTATAGCATTCAACTCGATATAGCATGACCATTTAAAAAATATACATATATCAGGATATCAAGTTGCTTAATATCGAGAATTTATGTAAATGCTGTGTAGTTTATAAATTCGTTGTCTATGAGTTTAGTAAAAAATTTATATCTAATGAGATCCTTTCACTAAAGTTATACTTAATTCATTTCCTTAATATTGATATATTAAAAAAAATTAGTTTTTACAATTATTTATATAATATTTCTTTATTTAATTGTTTAAGTACTTATTATGTATCAGTTCATAATCATCTCAATAGGTGTTTGCTTAGCTTAAAGTACATAAGAGTATGGAGATGCAGCGGTATAGTGTAAATGTGATGCATATGATGGTGCATAGGCTAATGGTGCAGCAAGTCTAGGTGCTACTAAAGGTGCAGAATAAGCTAAAGGTGCTGAATATGCCAATGGAGCAGCAGCTGCCAGAGGTGCTGCTACTGGTGCAATTGGTCCAATAGGAGCAGCCGCAAGTGGTGCTGGTGCAACAATTCTAGCTACTGGTGCAACTGGTGCAACAACTCTAGCTACTGGTGCAACTGGAGCGGCGGCTACAATTGGTGCAGCAGCAATTCCATTGAAAGTTCTAGCCACAACTTGATTACTTGTAGCTGTGATAAGTGGTGCTGGCGCAGCTACAACAGCTGCTGGTGCAGTATAAGCTAAAGGTGCACCAATTAAACCTGGTTTGGCAGCAGCGCAAGCAATTAAAGCAAAGATGACTACGGTCTGTAAGAGATTTTAAATATTAAATGGTATACATTATCCTTAAAATTACTATTTTTTATACTTACAAATTTGTACATTTTTAATTTTTTATTAAATGTTTGTTTTGTTTCTTCGAAGTTGACTTGTTAGTTTCTGATATTTGATTGCTAACGGTTTTCTGCTTTTATACCTTCCAGCCCACATTAAAATAATTTATGACTAACCCACTCAAAATTGATGGCAACTGGCCGTACTCACGGCATCCAATTTTTAATTATTCATGGCACGTCGTTTTAATTGATATATCGGTACCCAGTGGTAATGAGTTCTGTTTTGAAATTATTGTGCTCTTTGAATATTTGGTGGTCTATTATTTTATTACATATATACATATATATTGTAATTTTAAGTTTATAATTTTTTTAACTTAGTACTGTTGATGTAGCATTTATTTATTGGTAATAATTTTTTTTAAATAAAATAATTTTCTCTAAACACCAGTTTTTATTTTTACTATTACTGTTAAAAAATCAATTTATTAATCTCTTTAAAATTGAATTATACTCAAATAAATTATTTTAATATTTCAAATAGTAATGCAAATCAGATATCAGATATTTTTATACCGTAAAACAGTTATTGTAATATGTTTGACTACAGCTGAACCATAGTTGCTCGAATCAACACCTAATGTTTGGGGATTTCAATATAGCATATACGAGTATCAAAACTCATCATAAATTCTTTATTAAATTATTAATGTTTCTTCATTATTTATTATTAGTATTATTGAACTAAAACACAAATAGAACCATAATTTTTTTAATTTACTGCAGCTATGAAATACTACCATAATTTGATCTTTTAGTTTCTGATCGCTGACCCTTTAGTCGACTCTACTATTACCCCTATTTGAACTTCGCCACTAGAGTTTTCCACTCTCTGGCGAAGTTATGCGAAATAAAATGTTAAATAATTACTCATCTACTAAATTAAACTTATTTATTAGTTTTCAATGTAAGTATAAATATTTCAACCTATTTTAATCGTACGTCCACACATAAATTTTTATGCTTGACAATTATTGACATTGAATTTAAGTTTTGGACGAGTCGTAATATTGCAACAATTTACATGAATTGAAGACAACACTCAATTTTTTAAAAAATATACTAAATGGTACCAATACAATATTTTGTCTATAGTTTTAAGGTCATTGAACGACTTATAACTTAAAACAAATTTTAAAAAAAATATTGCTTTATATAAATAACTGAATTTTTGGAAACATCAACACAGTTCAACTTTAGTTGTTTCTATCAACATAACAAAATTTTTAACAAACCAAAAATGTTCAAGCTTGTAAGTTGTATCCTGAATGGTTTTAAAATAAAATTATATTAAAAAAAACTTATTAATACAATATTTTATTTTATAGACAATCGTCATCTTTGCTTTAATTGCTTGCGCTACTGCCAAACCAGGTTTAATTGGTGCACCTTTAGCTTATACTGCACCAGCAGCTGTTGTAGCTGCACCAGCACCACTCATCACAGCTACAAGTAATCAAGTTGTGGCTAGAACTTTCAATGGAATTGCTGCTGCACCAATCGTAGCCGCCGCTCCAGTTGCACCAGTAGCTAGAATTGTTGCACCAGCACCACTTGCGGCTGCTCCTATTGCACCAATTGCACCTGTAGCAGCACCTCTGGCAGCTGCTGCTCCATTGGCATATTCAGCACCTTTAGCTTATTCTGCACCTCTAGTAGCACCTAGACTTGCTGCACCATTAGCTTATGCACCATCATATCCATCACATTTACACTATACCGCTGCATCTCCATACTCTTATGTATTTTAAGTTAAGCTAACACCTGTTGAGATGGTAATGAACTGATATGTGATAAGCATCTATTAAATGAAATAAAATAATATATTAATCAAATTTTTTACATCTTTTAGTCTTTTTCTATTATTCTTACTGATAGTACAAGTGACAAAATATTTAACTTCCTTAAATGATGGCGTACTACGAACAACTTTTTCAACCACTATAAATTTAAACCACTATAAGTGTTATAACGTCCTTTGCTTTCTACCTCTGTAGCATAAATTTAAACTTCGTTTAAGAGCTTTGCGTACATCCACAGGACACGCACTCACCTTCGAATAGACTTTGTACGCAAGGATTCATGTCGAAAGGAGGCGAAAAAAGTTGCATTAAAATAGTAAAACTAGTAGGTAGCAACAATATGCACACAATGTTCATTTAATCTAATAGTGCCAGCCAGGTATGCTGGTATCCTTGCTCCTTTTTTCATACAAAGTGTGTACATCTTTCATGGCGCCACCACAATTTATGTGCTGTAGTTTTTAAAAGCACTTTTCTGTTTTAAGTAGATAAAAGTACTTCGTGCATATGTTTCCCTTGTAGGACGCACACTTTTACGACCATGATGACAATACTGATAATAGCCGAAGTTGTGACATTTAAATTGTAAAGGATCAGCTAAATACTTTAATGATTTCTTATCGTTTAAGGTAGATTTATTCTGCAATATATAAGACTGAATAGCAAGAAGTCATCTTTGGATCATAACTGGGTAAAATTTATTACACTATAATAAATATGTTTTATGAATGAATTTTTGTTACACCAAATAAGTACTTAAGAAAGACATATATGTCCCTTTTTACTAACCAATAACTATGTGTTTTATTGAGATAGAAAATATTTGTTTAAAAGATTAATAAAATAAAAGAAAAAATAAAAAGATTTCAGAAAAAACTTTTGGATGTCTTATGTTTATCGTAATTCTTCTGAATATTTATATATATTAAATATTGTTTACATATTGTGGAACGTTGGGACAGCACACCGTTCATCAAATGACCCCCACTGAAGTGAAGGATTAGCCGAAATAGATCCCGAAACGTTGGTTCCTTTGGCGTCGGTCTTGGATGTCGTTATTGAGTTAAAGCTACATCGCTTGTTAGTGCAAGCAGCTCATTTGATTGAGGTTGACTGCCAAGTCGTCACCAACACAATGATGTCCCATGACAGTCAACTAAAAAATATTTACTGAAATGTTTATGTTCTAATTCAAAATAGGGTCTTACCCTATATTGCACAGTTCCAGACGTCCTTGCGTAATATGCAAAAAAGGCATCTTACGGATGATCAAATTTTATTAAGCTAAAATTAAAATAAAACGGTGCAAAATTATAACATTATTCAAAAATGATTCTATAGAAATAGTCTCTCTAAATTGTTTATAAAATTCTACTCTATATACCAATTAACCTCTTTTTATATAAAACTGCTCTTATTTCTCCAATAAAGACCATAATGTTGGTTATATAATCATTAACTGAAACCCCAATGATTTAACATAATACAATGAAAAAAGTTTAAAGGAAATAAAGTCGAATATTTCTACGAGCAACTTTATGGTATATCGACATTTCTAGAGAAATGCTTACACGTTCATCGAACTTATTTTATATAAATTGAATGTGGTTGTGAGATATGTATAGTATCGTCTTAGTCTAAATTATCTATTTGATGCACCAGAAAATGAGTTATTTTGTTCCTGTAGCGTTATTCATTGATAGTAAATCCAAAAGCTATTTTAATTATCAAAAATGCAATGCATCTGCATCTCCATTATTATGATTGTTATTCTTTGTGAACGTGAACTTCCATCATGAACAGGGACTTTCATCTTTTCAAATGTGCCAATAACGCTTATTTACAAAACTATATAATCTGAAATTAATTTCATTGTTAGAGATGATTCTTCATAAAATAATGAATGAAGCTGTTTTGAATAGCTCTAAAGTTCAATTTACACAATGTCTATGCCATTAATGATCAAGTTTTCCGATTAATTGATTTTCTGAAGCTCTGAACTAAAAATAGTAACTAGTGCTACTCCGATTAAAATAAAAAAATCCTTAAAAGACAATCCTAAGAAGTTAATACTGTAGATAGTTATTAAAGTAGACGTATATTAAATTAAAAATTATAATTTTATTTATTTATATATCAGTCATTCAACGTAAGATCTCGTTTACAATAAAACTGGAGCAGCTGAGAGTGGTGCAGAGTATGCCAATGGTGAACTATAGGTCAAAGGAGCAGCAGCATAAGCAGCGCGGGCTAATGGAGCTGAGTAAGCTAAAGGAGAAGCGTAAGCCAAAGGAGCAGCAACAGGTGCAACAGCTTTCACAACTGGAGCAGCGGCGACAATTGGTGCAGCGGCGATTCCATTGAAATTTCTAGCAACAACTTGACTACTTGTAGCAGTAACAAAAGGTGCTGGAGCAGCTACGACAGCAGCAGGCACAGTATAGGCTAATGGAGCACTTAGTAGACCTGGTTTAGCTGCAACACAGGCGATGACAGCGAAGATGACAACGACCTGAAATAGTAAATAATATTATTAGAAATATCCTTCTATAATTTCTCAATTAACTTACAAATTTGAACATTTTGATTGGATGTTTTTTTGTACTTTAAGTTACTGTGAAGAGAACTAAAACGTTTTTGATATCAAACAAAGAGTTTCGCACTATTTTTATACAAAAATTTGTGTAAGTGAAATGATTCACTTCACAATTGCTAGTTGCTAGTTGATAGTTGGTAGTTGCCTGTTACCGATTTTTATTTACGAGTTCAATTTTAATTTTAAATTTCAATTTCAATTCATTGGCTTAACGCGTTTGTATCTTAAAACGGTTATTGTAGTTTTTGAACTTCATTAAAATTCTCCACACAAATTCCCAAAAATTGTATAAATGAGGTTTCAGTGTTTAATATAATAAACAAGCAATTTAACATATTTTATAAAATAGTTTTGGAATATTGAATGGAATGACTCAAATATTTTGTTTTGCATAAATGCAGAAGGACAATTGCAAGAAATGACCTTTTTAAGCATTTTGCTTCACATTTGCAGTTGAAATTTGTATAAAAAGAATTCAGTTTCGGAAGAATATATCAAATACAAATCAGCTTTTGTTTCATAAACAAACACAAATTAAACTCACAACAAACAATATGTTCAAATTCGTAAGTTAATCAAGAAATGTTAAAAGGATATTTTT